AGAGCCTGCGGGGCTGGGGAAGGGGGCAGCCCTCCACGACCCCAGGAAGGTGAGGTACTGCCGCCACCCTGAACCCAGAGAGCAAGGGGCCTTCCCCTCTGCCACCCGGCACCCGTGCCTCCATCTCGGGGTGTCTCCCTTTCTGTGAAGCGGGGTGCAAACCTGGGGTGGGGTTCGGGACAGCGTCCCCCAGGCCTGGCTCAGCTAAAAGGGGGCAGCTGCAAGGACCCAGGGCACAGGAGGCCAGGGGGCTGGTCGGGCAGGAAGCAGGGCAGTACCCACGGCTGCAAGGCAACATGGGCCAACGTGCTCCTGTCCTCTGGGGCTGGGGCCCCATTGGAGATGGCTGCCAGAGAGGAGCCTACCTTCCTATTCCCCAGTATTCCCTCTCACTCCCCAGCCTTGAAAGCCCCTGCCCTGCAGGGCCCTTAGATCTTGGTAACGCTTTCTTCCCAGCCCCCAGCCCAACAGCGAGGGAGCCAGGCAGACACAGCTGCACCCAAGCAAGCGCTCCACAAGGCACACGCAGGGCCAGGAGAGAATGGCTCACACCTGAGGCTCCGCTGGGGCTGCAAGCCTGGCTGGAGGCTCCCGAGCCTGGAGGAGAGGCCCCCAGGGGCCCTGCCAGTGCTGACCCTTCCCTGGGGTGTTCCTTCCATGGAGCACAGGCTAGCCTTGTGCCCCATTTCACAGATTTGGGAACTGAGGCTCTGAGAGGCTTACCTGCCCCAAGGTCACACAGCTCTTGTCGGGAAGAGCCTGGTTTTGATGCCCGAGGCTGCCGGTCTGTTTTGGAGGGGGAACCCCTGCAGGGGGCCCACCCTGAGCAGCAAGCAGGTGACCTGCCGCTTCTACAGAATGGAAGGGGACCCCTGTCTTGGAGGCACGCTGGGGCAAGAAGGCTCAGCACCCCTCCCCCGAAGGATGACGAAGAGAACGTGCCCAGGGTGGGGGGAGGGGTGGAGAACTTCCACCAGGTTCTGAGCAAAGGCCCCCGCCCCCACGCCGAGGGTTTGGCTCCCCTTTCGCGGAGTGCCGCCCCTCCCCAGGGCAGGGCTGGACGGTCCCGGCGTGCCGGGCGTGGGGGCACCAAACGCCGGGAGCGGGAGCAGACCGAGAAGGGTGATACCCGCCCGCACCTCCGGGGCTCAGGGACCCCGGGCCGAGGAGGGTCCGGGGAAGGGCAAGGGCCGCGTTGGGTCGACCACGGGAAGCAGCAGCTCTGAGCGGGGGCGGGATGAGGGGCGACGAGGGGAGAGGGGTGCTGGGGCAGGGGCGAGTCCGTGCGAGGGGCAGAGGCGCGCGGGGCAGGGGCGCTCCGGGGGCGGCCGCGGAGCTCCGACCAGGACCCCCTCTGCCCCGCTGAGCCTGAGCGCCCGCTCCGCCGCAGCCGCCAAGTTCTTCCAACTTTGCCCGCTCCGCTCGGAGGGCGCGCGGGGCCGGGGCGCACGAGGGGCCGGGGGCGCTGGGTGCGGGGCCCGGAGCGCCACCCCCGCGAGCGGCCGCACTGCCGCGCCCCCAGGATCGGCCCCGGCCCCGCGCGGACTCGGGATGCGCCGGCTCCGCGCTTACCTGCTCGCCCGGCCGCCGTTCCGGGGCTGTGCCCGCCGCCGCCGCCGTCCTTCAAGCTCTAACTTCGCTCCGGGGATTGAAATTCCTCCCCAGCTTCGCCCATCGATCCACGCGCCGCCCCGCCCCTCGCGCGCGGGCAGGGGCGCCGGAGCCCGCGCGCCGCCCCTGCGCACCCCCCGCCGCTGCGCGCCCCCGCCCCCTCTTCCTCCGAGTCCGGCGCCGAGTCTCGCGCCCCCCTTCTCCCTGCCCGCCCGGCCTCCTCGCTGCCTAGCTCCTTGCCTCCTGCCGCTGAGCCGGGGGTGGGGGCGCGGGGGAGGGAGCGGGAGGGGGAGGTACTAGAAAGCGCAGGAGGGTTTCCTCTCGGCCCCTGGCCGGCCTCCCACCCACGTCCGCCCTCCGGTGACGGAGCGCGCAGCAGCTGTGGCTGGGAAGGGCTGCCCACGACCCCCTCTCTTTTAAGCAAAGCCCGGGCGTTCTCAGGACCCGGGTCGGCCCGTCGATCCGGCCCACCTGGGAGAAGGCAAGGGTCCGGGGGCAGAGCTGGGGGAGGGGCGGGGAGGGCCGGCACTGTCCCCCAGCCCTGGTCCCCTTCCTTCCCTCACTCCCCCAGTCTCTGGGGAGACTCGGGGTGGGGGAGACTCGGGGTGGGGGGGGGTGTCTCTGAGCAAGCTCTCCTCTTAGTTTGACCCCTGCCACCTGCGCGTGCAGAAGCCCCCTTTTCGCAAGTTACAGGCAAGGAAACGGCCCACAGAGGCCCCGGGGCATGCCCCCCGCCACACAGCCGGTCGGAAGCAGAACCCGAGGAGCAGCTCTGCCCCCAAGACTGAGCCTCCTGGCCCCTCGGGGACTCCTCGTTGGGGCCAGGCAGGCCTCGGCGGCGCTCTCGACTGCCCAGGGCGGGGGGCTGCCCACCCCGCAGCCCGGCCGGCTCGCGTCCCCACGCCGCCCGGCCCGTCCCCGCAGGCGCCCGCAGCCCCCTCCCCGCTTCCTGTCCCCCGCCCGCTCTGATTCCCGGCCTCAGTACCCCCAGCACGCTCTCCGCTCCCCGCCAGCAGCTGGGCAATTCACCGAGCATACAAAAGAGTTGACTCAATTCAAAGGCAGCGAATCAAGATAAATCCTATAGTGTGTGGGGACCGGAGAGGGATGTGAATGAACGCCCACGGCACAGGCGACTCCTATAGGGGCTGACTGACCCCCTCCCCCAGCGCCGCTGGGCGCAGAAGGTCAGCCAGGACCTGCGGAGTGGGCGCCAAGCTGCCTCCCCTCCAGTGGGGACTTAAGGAGGCAGTGCTTTGTGGGGCTCTGCCAGGCTAGAAAGGGGCTGCTAGAGCGAAGCCAGCGTGGCCGGTGGTGGGGACCGAGCCCTGGGCAGCGCTGTGTCCAGGAACCTGTCACAGCCCCGAGGATCAGGGTGAGGCCCAGGGAAGGAGGCTGCTGGGCCGCGGGGGCATCTGAGCTGCATCCCTTCGCCTTCGGCTGCCCCTGCCTGGACCCTCGCCCCGCAGGCCCCAGGCCAAGGCCAGGCTCCGGGCTCTCCCCATAGACACAGCAAGCCTCAGATATGCTCAGCAAGGGCTGAGGAACAAGAGAGCAGGCCGGCTGGGGAGAGGGCTCCCCTCCTGCCTCAGAGCCGCCCCAACTCCAGCTGCAGCTGGGGCTGGGGAGAGCCTCCCTGGGGACGCCGGTCACTCCTGGAAGGTCTGAGAAGTCAGCCTCCCGGCCTCCGGCCTCACGAGCCCTGGGCAGTGAACGCATGGGAGTGGGGCTCCAGCGTGTCCTTCCCCAGGCCAGCCCCTGCCAGGAGGTGACTGATGCCTGTTTCTGGCCAGTCCCCCCACCCCAGCAAGCAGCTGTGGCTCAGGAAGGATGGGGTTGGCTTGGGAGGGGCCACCCCAGAATGCCAGGGACGGAGCTAGGGCCAGTCAGAGTTACAGAGCAGCCTCCTGCTGCTCCCCAGGCCTGGGGGCTATGAGCCCATCTCTTAGGCGAGCAAGCCGAGGCCAGAGGGCCCGCCCCAGCCCTGCCCCATTGCCAGGCGAGTATATGTCTGCCCAGGGTCAGGGCTCTGCGGAGGGGCCGGGAGAGTCCAGGCTCCGCACAGGGGGAGGTCCCCGAGCCAGCTGCGCAGGGAGCGAACCCCAGAGTTGCGGGCGCAGGGGATTGCCGGTGGGGCTGAGGGGAAGCATGAGGTCCCGGCCACTGACGCCCTCACCGCCCCACCCGCGCCCCGGCGGAGGCCGCCCCTTAGGGCCACGACCTCTCCGCCGAGTCTCAGCTCGGTCGCCCCTCCCCCGTGCTCGCGCGCATGGCCGCCTGCGTGTAAGTCATTAATTCTGTTCCAGAGGCGCCGACTCCGCGGGAGGACTTCTGTCAGCGACCCCACACCGCGCTCCACGCCCCCTGCCCCACCCCCAGCCCCAGAGCGGGTGAGGGGTGGACACGGATGCGGCTCCTCGCTCACCGAAGCTAGGAGACCGCTGGAGCGCGGCGCAGAAGCGCTGGAGGGCGTCGGGGTCCCCGAGTTGACGGAGGGGGCGGGGCCCGAGGCCCGCCCTGGGGACAAAGACCCCCCAGGCTGCCTGGGGGCTGGATGCGGCAGACGGGGAGAAAAAGCAAGTACCCCGCGTCCTCCGTCCCCCAAATCAAGCTGGGACCTGAATGTTGGGGTGGGTGGAGTGGGAGGGAGGACAGAACCCTCCTGGGCCTTGCGGGTGCGTGCAGGCGAGGCGACGCTGCAGGGGGCCCACCGGGGCGTCGCCTCTTCCCCGAACGCGAGGCTGTAGCTACACCCCAAAACCCTCTCGGAAGCTTCGCGGGTCCCCTTTACTCTCCACAGTCCAGCCGGCGGCTCGCCGCGACCACCGCACGCCCCCCCCCGCCGCTCAGATGGGGCGGGGGGGATGGACCCGCGTCAGTGGGTCGGGAGGGAATTCCCGCTCATTGGCGACAGTCGGGCCCGGGGACCCCACGCCCCGCCAGCGGGGAGGGCTCCGTTGAGGACGGTGCTAGCATCGCGCCGGTCTGGGCGGCCGCAGGCCACACGGTGCAGTTTGGGAAGAAAGTTGGGGGCGACACCCAGAGGGCAGAGAGTCAAGAAGGCGGGACGGGCAGGGGGCGTGGGGGCAAGAGCGGCAGGGTGGGGAGGCTGAGAGCCGCGCGCTGGGGCCCCGCCACACCCCGGCCCCGGCTTCCGGCGGAGAGGCTCGGGGCAGAGGCGCCTGGGCATCGCCTGGAGCCGCGTCCCTCGCGGGAGAGCGGCCGCGGCCGGCGGAGCCAGGAGACCCGGTGGGGTGAGGTGGGGGCGGGGGTCCTGTAACGCCCGCTCCGAGCAAGGCTCCCCCCACGCCGGCCGTGAGAGGGCTGGGCACCCTCAGTCCGCTCCCTGCCCGCCCGCGACTACAAGATGGGGTTCCTGACGGTTCCTGATGGGGGGGCGGTCTCCGCATGAACTTGGGGCGCCGCGGATACCACTGCTCCCTAGCAAGCAAGACCACCCTGTTACCCCATCCCTGCCTATCCCTCCCTTCCTGCTTACAATGCTCAGGAAAGTTTCGGGGTCCCCGCGGCGCCTCCTAGCCCGAGGGGTCCAGAGTCCCGGGCCTTCGGGTCGCGGCGTCGGGGAGGGAAGTTTGTCCGGCCGGGGCCCGGCGGCTGCTAACTTCGGGTGCGACCGCCTTGGCACCCGAGAGCGGGGCGGCGAGGACCGGCGGAAACAACGCTCCATAACCAAGCCCCACTGGCGGGAGACTCGGCCCCGGCGAGGACGCTCAGGGCAGGGCGCGGGGACTGGGGCGACAGCCTCTGGGGACCCCGCGCACGCCCCCACTGCCTCCGGGGAGAGCCTCTTCCCCGCCTCCCACAGGGGCGGGGAGCTGCTGGCCCTGCAGCCGCGGGAGAAAGGACCCCCGAACCGCAGCCCCGCGCAGCCCCCGCCCCCACCATCCCCTTCCTACCTGCTCTCGGTTGTGGGCCCGGGGCTGGAGGCACCGTCACAGGAGAGCGCAGCGCGCGCGCCCAGGTCCCTGGAGCGCGGCGGCGGCGGCGGCGGCGGCGGCGGCGGCGGCTTCCCCTCCTTCCTCCAGCTCTTCCTCCGCCGGCCTCGCTGGCTCCAGACAGCTCTCCTCCCCCTAGCGCCCTGCCTGCCCCTCCCGGAGCCCGCCGGGCTGGGCTCGGCCTGCGACGGGGAGCGGAGCGGAGCCGGCGGGAGCCGGGCTGCGGCGCTCACTGCGTCAAGCGCTGGGCGAGCGCGGGGCGGCGGCGGCGGAGACCGCGCGCGGAGAGCCCGGGGCCGGCCGGACAGGCGGGGCAGCGGCGGCTCCGGCTCCGGTTCCTCCGGCTCCGGCGCGGGCGCGGTGGTGGCGGCCGCGGCCGCGCCGAGGTTGTAGCACATTCTTTCTGAGCGTGATCGAAGATTTCGTGTAGGAGCCGGAGCGGGGAGGGCTGGAGGAGGGGCGGGGGACGCGGGCGGGGGACGCGGGCGGGGGCGGCCGGAGGGGCGGGCGGCGGTGTAGTTCCAGCACGTCGATGGACTGGGGGTGTCCGAAGGGTGAGGCGGGCGGGGAGTCGAGCAGGCTGCGGGGCGGCGTGGGCAGCCCAGAGGCGTCTTCGCCCCCCTCCTTCTGGCTAGCCCTGCGCGCCCCTGCCCTCGCCCCAGGCCACCGTTAGAACAGAGGCCCCCGAAGGTCTAGGAGTCGAGACGCCGGGTGGCGATGGGAGGTGGGCACCTGGGCGGAAACGAGAGCGCGCGTGCGGGCACTGCCGTGAGCACACACACCGGGAACCGCGTGAAAGTTGACCCGAAGTCAGACCCTGTGTGGGCGCGCGCGTCCGCGAGTGCAATTGCTCTGCCCGCTGGGGCGCGCGTTTCCGGGGTGGGGAGGGCGCTGCACTTGGTGGGGGTGGGGGCGAGAGGGTGGTCGCCCCCGAAGGACTTGCTCTCCTCTAGATCGCTGACCCCCACTAACCCTCCCGGGGCTCAGCGCCGCCCTCCCCACTTTCGGCGGGGGGGAGGGGGGCAGGGCCGGGGAGGGATGTGGGACCAGCCAGGCTCCTTCGATTCCCGGAAGGTTCGGTTTAGAGGATTTTCCTCCCACGGATCCCTTTCTCTTCGTTCGCCTCCCGAATCCCCGGGGGGCTGCAACCGCTCGGCCGGCCTATAGGCTGAGTTCTACATCCGCAGCCTCTCGGTGGCCCCGCGCCCGCTCCCGGCGTCTACCCCGCCTCGCCGGGCGGCTCCCACTCCCCACGGCCGCTGCCCAGCCTGCGGCTTGCGCGTTGGGCCAGAACTGCAAACCAGGCTCAAGGGCGCACCCGCGCGGCACGGCCTGCGCGCCGCGCCCCGAGCCGTTGAGTCCGAGCCGCGGAGCAGAGACCCAGCCGGGCTCGGGCTTGGGACGCGACCCTCCGGACGCCGCCGCCTGCGCAGCGCCCCTGCCCCGCGTGCTGCCCCGGACTGGGAGGGGAGACAAAGGCAGCGAGGTCGACCTGCGCGCCACGGGGCGCGCACGCAAAGAGGAGGGGTCTGATGGAGGGTGAGGGGCGCCCCTCTGGAGGAGGAACCGGGACCGGCGTGGCAGTGGCGGGTGAGGCTGCGAGCCACGCCGCCAAAGGCCGGCCGGGCCCCGGAAGGGCGCGCGGGGTTCTGGATCGGGTCGGGTCCAGCCTGCAGCGCCATCAGCCGCCCTCCAGCTCCTCCCAACCGCACCCGCGTCTCCTCCAGACTGGATGTCCCTGAGGCAGAGCCGAGACCCCAAAGGGGGCCAGAGTGGAGGAGAGCCCACCGCCTTTCCCATGGACCCTGGGGCCCGGAGGATGACGGTCAAGGTCGGAGCCACTGTCTTCAAGCTGTCCTGTCCTTGAGGGGCACTCAGACCCCCTGGACCAGGAGGTGGGGGCAGAGGCTGGCCTTGGGAGTCTCTCTTGTCCAGGTCCCTAATGGAGGCGCTTGTTAGCCCAGGCCGGCTGCAGCCCCCGGTTCCCACTTCCCCATAATTGGCCAGGGCCTTGCGAGTCCACCGTGACCTGGTTGCCAGGAGCGGCTCTGCTGCCTGAGGGAGCGTGCCTGCCGGATACTTTCACACTCTAGCATCTTGAGATGCTGAAATATGCCCTTGTTTGCTCTGAAAGCAGAGCCTAGCTGCTGCTCCCTGGAAAGGCCAGACACCCCTCACGCTGAGAACAGGAGACCCCAGCACAGCCCTGGAGGGAGGAGGCAGGAGAGGCCCCTCTTTCTCTGGGCTAAATAAAGCCCAAGTGCTCTCTCACTGGTCTCACTGCTGTGAGATCTCGCTCGCTTGCTCTCCCGCTTTCCTCTCAGACACTCATCTCCTCCTGAAAACCCCCACGCAGGCTGCCTTGTAGACACACACACTCCGCCCACACTGCGTGTATACACACAGCCCCAGTCGTACCCACCAGCCCATCTCCCCACCAGGCATTATCTGGGCGGGAACATGGGATACTCTTCTCATCCTCACAGACGCCCAGCTTGAGTTGTCGGTGGTACAGCCTGCAGCCAGCTACAAACACCCCCAGGTCAAACGCACCCCAGTCCACACCTAACACACACGGGCAGGCTCGCTCCCCCGAATGCAATGATTAAACTCACCTCCATGCATCAAGCATGTGGTTGCAGCTTGCATCAATTCAGTTCATGCTCACGGCCACCTAGAAATGAGCACTGTCAACGTCTCCCACTTCACAGGGAGGCCTGGGTTGAGCTCTCCAGGAACTGGGTCAGCAGATCCTGGTTTTCACCCCCGCAAACCAACCACTAAATCCAGACTCACCCCAGTGCCCTGGGGAGAGGCAAGCTAGGCCGTGATGGGCCTTGGGCCCGGGGTTCTGGGACCCCCACCTTCCCCAGCTGCTAGAGGCCGCCTCTGTGCCTCTCTGAGATCCCCTGCCCATGTACTCACCACACTGGATTCTGCATCAGACTGTGAACTCTGCAAAGAAGGACGGTCTGACTCACCTCTGAATGCCCAACCAGCACAGGAGGGGTGACCAGGTGTGGTTTCACGACAGAGGAGGACTCTCGCGCGTCTGCGCCCTATTGTGGCTCCTCTCTCCTCTAAGAATGGTCCGGCTGGGAGGCCCTGGCCCAGGCACGTCAGTCAGACCATTGAGGGTGTACGGGAAAGGAGCAGAGGGACACCGTGGCGGGGGTGGATGTGGAAAAGAGCCCTCCCCGAGCCCATCCTGGGAGACGGTACCTAGAGGGGGGTGGAGACTGTCCCTTCCTGTGCCCAGAACCTCATAGCGATGACAACAAACACCAAAAAACCAAGAGCCATACAAAAAGCAATGTGGCCATCTTATATCCAAGCAAAGAGCCTATTCCCCCACATGTAAAAAGCTCTTACAAATCAATAATTTAAAAACCCCAAAAGCAGGAAAAAATGGGCAGAGATTATGAACAGAAAATGAAATAAAAATAATGCTTATATATACAAAAAGTGCCCTGTCTCACTCCTAACAACAGAAAGGCAAATTAAAACTACTCTGAGAGATGATTTATTCATCCAATGGGCAAAGAGTAAGGTTTAAGACGCACTGTGTTGCAATGATATGGGAAGCGGGCGCTTTAGAGCCTCTGAAACAAGGTCCAAATTCCAAATACTTACACCCTTTGGCCCAGCATTTACTTCTAGGAATCTGTCCTCCAGAGAGTACTCACAAATGTGAAAAATGATGTATTACTGCACGCAAGGTTATTCACCGGCGCACGCTCTGTGACAGCAGCAGATTGGAAGCATCTGAAATGCCAGCCGACGGTGGCGTGCAGGGACGCGTCCACACAGGTGCATGCACAGCTGGGGAGGCACGTCCTAATCTGAGTCCATCTCCCAGAGCGGTCTTTAGGGGAACAAAACGAGGAGTGGGACTGTGTGTGTAGGACTTTTTATTGACTCCTACAAGAAGGATATAACACAGTAACATTTTATTTGCCTGTGTGTGCAAAACAGTGGCAAAACTGGAGGGCCAGGAGACAGGGAAGGAGGGGAGGAAACTGTTTTACTTAAAGATATTTTTCACCTATTACTTGTTGACAGTGAATTTCACCCTTCTTAAGAGTATACAGTTCCATGAGTTTCGACAAATGTATACATCTGTATCACCACCCCAATCAAGATATTGAAATTTCCAGCGCACCGGAAAATGAGGCTTTCCACTGTGTACCCGCATCTGCTGTTTGAATTTTGTACAATGCGCATACATTTCTTTTGTAATAAATTTAAATACAGAAGTTAAAATGAAAGATGGTTTCATATCTGTCATCTCGTCCCTGCAATATCCTGGGAAGGCGACTCTTCCCAGTCCCGTTTAACAGATCAGACTGAGCTTCACGGAAGAACAGAGACTTGCCCTGGAGAGCCAAGGCGGAACTGGAACCCGAGGCTCTCTGATTTTAGCAGCCTCATTGAGGGTTAATTTACATAACTACTCAGTTCACTGTTTCAAGTGTGCTATTCAGTGGTTTTTAGTATATTCACAGAGTTGTGCAACCATCTAACTTTTTGAGCACTTTTTTACCCCCAAAGGAAACCCCGGTATCCGTGAGTAGTCACCCCCACCCTCCACCATGACATCTACCCCTCGGTCTTTTAACTTTTTATTTTTCACTGGAGTATATAGCTAATTAACTGCTTAAATTAAAACTATAAACTATAACATTGAATTAACCTGTGATATTTTCAGAGTTCCAGCAAAGGCTCAGCCGTACATACACATGTACCCATTCTCCCCCAAACCCCTTCCCATCCAGCCTGCCACGAAACACTCAGCAGGTCGGTGACAGGAGGACCTTGTCACCGACCTGCTTTCTATCTCTGAGTTTTGACGATTCTGGATGTTTCAAATCAACGCAGTTACCTGCTCAGTGATCCTCTGTGACCGGCTGCGTTCACTTACTGCTCTGTTTCTGAGATTCATGGTGGTTTAGTCGCTAAGTCATGTCTGACTCTGCAACCCCATGGACTGTAGCCCACCAGGCTCCTCTGTCCACGGGGTTCTCCAGGCAAGAATCCTGGAGTGGGTTGCCATTTCCTTCTCTAGGGGATCTTCCCGACCCAGGAATTGAACCTGGGCCTCTTGCGTTGCAGGCTGATTCTTTACTGATTGAACCAGTAGGGAAGCCCGAGATTCGCACATGTCGTACCAAGTATCACTGCTTCATCCTGATTGCCCGATACTATTCCACTGTAGAGTTGGACCACCGTTTATTATCCATTCATCAGTCGATGGACACGAGCTATTTCCACTTTAGGGATATTACAGATACGCTGCTGTGAACACTGATATAGTTTTCATGTGAACATGCGCTTTCATTTCTCTTGGAGATATACCTGGCAGGAGAATTGCTGGCCATGTGGTAACTCTGTTTAACATTTTGAAGAATTCCCAAACTGTTTCCCACCAGCAGTGTGTGTGTGTTTCAATTTCTCTGCACCCTCACCGACACTTGTTTTTATTTCTTTGATTCCAGCCAACCTGGTAAGTGTGAAAGGATATCTCCCTGTGATTTTGATTTGCATTTCCCAATGGCTAATGACGTTGAGCATCTTTTCATAAACTTCTTGGCCCTTGTATCCTTACACATGGCCACTGGGCTATTTATCTTTTTATTATTGAGTTGTGAGAGTTAAGTAGGAGACCTGGATTAAACCCCTGGGTTGGGAAGATCCCCTGGAGAAGGGAAAGGCTTCTTACTCCAGGATTCTTGCCTGGAGAATCCCATGGACAGAGGAGCCTGGTGGGCTACAGACCATGGGGTCGCAAAGAGTGGGACCCCACTGAGTGACTTACACTTTCAAGAGCTGTTTCCATAGTCTAGACACAAGCTCCTAATTAGATTTATAATTTGCAAAATATTTTCTCCCTTTCTATGGGTTGTTTTCTTCACTTTCTTGTTGGAATTGTTGGCAGCACAAAAGGTTTTTAATTTTGATGAAGTCTAACTTTTTCTTTTTGTTGCTCATGCTTTTGATGTTGTGTCTAAGAAGCCTTTGCCTAAGGTGAAGATTTACTCCTATATTTTCTTCTAAGACTTTTACAGTTTCAGCTCTTCTATTCAGCTCTTTGATCTGCTGGGTTATTTTTCAGACGGTGTGAAATAGGGCTCCAGCTTCATCCTCGTGCATGTGTTGTTGTTCCAGCACCATTTGTTGCAAAGTCTGTTCTTTTTTCACTGAATCGCCTTGACCCGCTTGTCAAAAATAGAGTCACCATCAAGAAAGGATTTATTTCCACATCCCCACCTCTACCCCATCGGTGGGTGTGTCTCTATCCTTCTGCCAGACCACTCTGTCCGATCACCGCGTGAAGCTTGACAGCAGGACCTGTGAGCCTTTGGCTTTGTCCCTCTTTTGCAAGATCGTTTTGGCTCTTTGGGGCTCCTTACTCTGGAACTCAAGGCTTCCCAGTTGGCCCAGGAGTACAGACTCTGCCTGTCAATGCAGGAGATGCAGGAGATATGGGTTTGATCCCTGGGTTGGAAAGATCCCCTGGAAGAGGAAATGGCAACTCACTCCAGTCTTCTTGCCTGGAGAAGCCCATGGACAGAGGAGCCCGGTGGGCTTACAGTCCGTGGGCTCACAAAGAGTCAGCCACGACTGAGCCGCTGAGCATGCACACGCACTTGAACTCAGTGCAAAGCCTCGGCTCCCCGAGCCCCTACAGCACATGTAGGAGCACCAACGACCCAATATGACCAAGAAAGAAACGCAGCTGACCCAGTGCACACGTTCTAAGCACCTGCTGTATGCCGGCACCTACTGCTTGTAAGCTCTCCATGTTCACTAATTCCTTCAGACCACGGCGACGCCGAGGCACCAGGAGTCTGGGGGACTTGTCCAAGGTCACACGCGGCCAGTGATCCGCTGCTCGTCTACAGCGCCCAGACTCACTGTTTTTCACACGGAACCTTGAAAGTTTTCAGACATACAGAAAAGCTGAAACAGCATTACGGTGACACCCAGACGCCCGCAGCCGGCGTCCAGCTCCACTTGCTTTGTCACCTTCCTCCCCAGCCCTGCGGGAACCAACTGCTTCCCAGGTCGGTTGCAGATGCCAGCACGGGGCACCCCGAGATAGGCAGTGCGTGCAGCACCAACTGGAGTTTGATGTTTGTTACAGAGTTTTGAATTCTTTGGAGGAAAACTGATACACGATGAAATGGAGACCTATCAAGGGACCATGAATGCTCTCGTGGGCACTCTCTGCAGCCCAAAGCCCTGCTGAGAGACAGAACATCCACTAAAAAAGTTCCCACATGCCCAGCGCCCCTCATACACACACCAATCTGGTTCTGACTTTTCCCACTGAAAGTTGGTTTGCTGTGTCCCGGACATCAAACCAGTCGATCCTAAAGGAAATCAACCCTGAATACTCATTGGAAGGACTGATGCTGAAGCTGAAGCTCCAATACTTCTGGCCACCTGATGCCAAGAGCCGACTCACTGGGAAAGACCCTGATGTTGGGAAAGATTGAGGGCGGGAGGACAAGGGGACGACAGAGGATGAGATGGTTGGATGGTGTCACTGACTCTGTGGACATGAGTTTGAGCAAGCTCCGGGAGCTGGTGATGGACAGGGAGGCCCTGCTGCAGTGAAGGACCACGTGCTGCAGTCCATGGGGCCGCAGAGAGTCAGACGTGACGTATAGACTGAACAACAAGACTTTCATAAACTTGGGGTCACAGAGAGTGTCCTGTCTGTGTCTGCTCCCTTCCGCTCTGCACAAGGCGTGCGTGTCCATGGCTTGGTGTGTTTTCTGGAGCAGTGCTGAGTCGTACACCCACGCCGCACCCCCCACAGCCTCCGCTCTGGCCTCTTGCCTGCTCACCTGTGTGACCGCTGTTCCCCACCTGATCCTCAGGGCCATCTTCCAGATGCACGCCGATCAGAGGAAAGGAGGGTGATGCCGCCCCCTCGGAAGCCAGAGGTTGCAGAAACACACGGCTTTGCTGGCGTCTTGAGTCTGGGCTAAATCACATGACATGCTGTTAGGTGGAGAAATCAACAGATTATAAATCGCATAGTAATAAATTCAATCCAGTTTTGCAAAGCAAAAATGTACATGTGCTTAGAAGAAAGAGCTGGCAGAATGATGGTGGTTTCTTTCCCCCCAGAATCGTCCCTCTTGACGGTTAGGGATGTGGATTGTGATGGGTGGGGGTGCAGGAGAGACAGTGGGGCTCAGGCCCCTCCAAGGCACCCTGCCCTCAGAGATATTGAGATGTCAGGTCTGTGTCCCTGCCAGACCCAGCACAGGGCCACCATCCATGACCAACCAACGTTTGTAGCCTGGATGCCGGCAGGAGGGACAGAAGGACAGACGGGCAGAGCAGGCCCCACACCTGTGTCAGGCCCAGGAGCCGGGAACTAAGGGGCCACTTTTCTGGGGCCTCAGAGGTGGGGCTGGGAGAACCGCCCCTCACTGTCCCCAAGGGCCCTGCACCCCCTCCCGCATCATGAGAGGCCGGGGCCACAGTGCCAGCTCCGGCCACTTGGCCCTCCCAGGTTCATCCTGCTCGTTGAAGGACTCGGCCAGAAAACAGCAAAGGTGACATGCGGAAGCATCGAAGTGGATTGAGAGGTATCTGATTTCTTAAAAATGGTATCAGCCACCAGGATTTCCTTCCTGGAAGGAGAGACCCAGGGTGTCGAGACTGGTAGAGGCTTTCTGCCTCACGATCCGTGGGGTCCCCCCGGCTCCCCCCGGAGACCCCGAGACAAGGCGCTCAGAGGCCACAGGCGGACGTGGGCCTGTGCCTCCGCACACGTGACGGAAGAGGCCGCAGCGCCGGCCCGCCCCCTCTTCCCACATGACCCCCGGGGTCAGGACCAGCCTGACCCGGGTCACGCGTAGGCAGTGCTTTGTGGCTGAGCTGCAGGCGAGCCATCAGCATGCAGTCCTGCAGCCCACCTGGCGGGGACCCTGTCTCACCCTTCTCCCCAGGGACCCGCTGCGGCCCAGCCTGGGGGCATACGTGCTCAGAATCCCGGGAGGGTGGGCCCGGAGGTGGGGGCCGTGTGCTGGTCCCCCTCCCCTCAAGGCCTGGCCTCACCGGTGCCTCTGCCCGGCCTGCCTTCCCGCACCCAGGCTGGCCTGCCCGGGCCTCTGCCCTTCAAGCCCGGCTGGGTGTCCTGGACAGGTTCGGTGCCCGTGACTGCTGGCCACCTGGGCTACAGGCCCTGGCTTCTGGACAGGGAGCACGTTGAGGGGCCCCCGAGCCCCGTGCCCCTCAAGAGCTTTAAACTGACCTGGCGGGCGGGGGCTGGGGGGTGGGACCCAGGGGAGGGGGAGGCAGGAGGGCCCAGGGCGCAGCGCCCACCCCGCCCCCCGCAGTATCCAGGCACGACTGGCCCATCCCCTCTGCGGTGTCGGCTGCCTCCTCCCCCAGAGGCCCCGCACGGCCAGGCCGCACCCCGAGCCCCGCGGGGACGGCAGTCCAGGCCCAAGCAGGAGGCTCGGGCAGGAGGCGCTCTGCCGCAGGAGCGATCGATCGCGTCTCCTCGGGAAGGAGGCCAGGGCCTCCTCCTGGCCAGCCGCCCTCTCCCTGGCCTGCCCCGTGGGTCACAGGCGTGCCAGCGAGCGTCCAGGGCCCTCACAGCCGCCCTCCTCTGCCCTTGCCTCTGGGTCAGTGGTGATGACTCTGCGGGGTGCAGCTGGGGTCCACAGCTGCCCCCAGGAGCCCACCAGGCTGCCCAGGCCCTGGGCCACCATCAAGGTGCTGATGGTGTGGGAGATAGTTCCTCCCCTGCTTCTTTCCAGGACGCTGCCCCCCTCAATTACTTTTGATAAGGACACCCCCCACCCTGGCGATACTGGCCTTTCTTCTCCCACTCAAGCTTTCTGACCCAGGATATGCTTGATTTCCCCCAGTGTCGGGGAGCTCACTACCACACAGCCCTGGCAGTCGCTGGCTTTCTATTTACCTACAGTCCCACCCGGCTCTGTCTTGACAAGGGCTGAACACCCCGTCTTGCCCCTCGAGCCATCTCAGGGCAGCCTGTGGTGGGCCCACCTCCAAGTCCTCCTGGCCTCTGCTCAGCCCACGGCCCAGCCCTGCCTGCCCCCTCTGACATGACCTGCACCCCAACATCCTCGCCTCCCCCACATCTCTGCAAAGGCAGCCCCAGCTCTCCTGACTGTGCCCCCTGGGGCTGACCTCTCGAGGGTCTGGGCTCTGCGGGTTTATGGGGAGCAACCCTGGACAGGCTGTGATGGACGCCAGCGGGGAAGCGACCCAGCTTTATGAGTGACTGTCAAGGGGGCAGCAGATAAGGCTCCGGCCTGGCGTGACAGAAACAAGATATAAAAAGCCTCTGCAGCATCTTTTCGTTGACGGGAGACCTTGTGCTTCATGTTCCACTGTCTCCCGGGCTAACAGGCCCCACACAGAAGCCCGAGGGAACGCGGTGTCCTGGCCGCAGGGAGAGGCCCCACGGAGCCCAGGGCCGTGGTTGTTGCCCAGCACCAGCAGTCCCCTCGCAGGACTGTCCGGCACGGGGGGGTCCCTGCCCCCGCGCACTTGCTTTCCTTTCTGTTGGGGGTCCCGCAGGACACGATCGCTGCTCGCGGAGGCTGAGGGCAACGAGGGACCTGCCCAGGGCGGAGGTGGACCGGCAGCGTCGGCCAAGCCGCAGGCCGCCCCCCGCCGCCCGCCCTCCAGGAGGACGTGCCCCCGCCTTGCAGGCGAGTCTGTGAGGCCCAGGGACGGGGGTCTTAGCTGACACCCCTGCCAGCCAGAGGCCGTGCTGGGCTGTGAGAACCCCGGAGCCTGAGGGAGCCCCCAGCTGGGGTCTGCATACGGGAGGGAGGCTGTGGAGCTGCATTCAAACACCCACGGCTTCTCATGGTGCCAGGGGTCCGCGGGCCCCAAGGCCCTCACAAGGCCAGGTGCCCACGTCTGAGGGTGGGGATGAAAGACACTCTCCTTCCAAGCCCCGTCAGGCCTGCAGGCTTGAGGCCAGCAGGAAGGGCCTTCCAGGAGGCCTCAGCCCTGGGCTGGGCCCCTGGGGCCCTGGCGTCTCCTTGCCCGCCCACACCCCATGCTGGGGTCCCCCAGGCCCTCTGGGCCTGCCCCGCACAGACCCCTCCAAGGCCCCAGATCCCCCCAGCCCCTTGGGCAGGTGGCAGCTGCACGCCCGCTGCTCCTCACCCAGCCCAGCATCCCAGGGGCTGAGCGGAGCCAGCAGTGTCTGTGGCTCAAAGCAAGCAGGGAGGCAACGCGCATTGATGTAAATGAAGGCCCGTTTCTTCTTCCAGAATAGCTGGGCCCATGGCACGTCCAAGGAGCCCGGGGCATGCGAGCCAATCGTATCATGCGGAGGCAGTAATTAATAAAAACGGGCCGAGATGGGCCATCTGTGTGGCCAACGGCGCGGCCACGCGGGCCCTCATTAGGCATTCCCTGGCCGCGTCCCCACAGATGTCGCGGTGGCGGGGTGGCTCCCGCGGGAAGAGAGTCAGACAAATTTAGGCAAACAGCATGAAGTGGGCTGGGTCTCAGCCACGGCGCTCACGCGGGCCGGCCTGAGTGATACTGCCGAGAACTCAGCTCAGACCCCCGGGGCCAGCGCCCAGTGTCCATCGTCCACCTGGCCCCACATGCGTTCGGTGTGACCTTGGGCGAGCACCCTCTGGCCCTGGGCCCCCGCCTCCACGCTGCCGCAGGGAGCAGGGCAGGGCCCCAGGGCCGTGGTCAGTGTGTGCTGGGAGCACAGGGCCCCCAGAGCCTTCAGCTCGCCGTCCATGGAATCTGGTTGGTGACCAACAGACCGAGGGGGCCTAGGGTCTTGGAATTCTCCAGAAGTGCTGGTCAGGGTTTATTCTTCTTGACAATTCTAGCTGCTCTTCTGCTCCTGCTGGAGACCCCTCACCCCTGGAAACGGCCTGCAGGCTGAGGCTTACCTCTTGTCTGGGGGGTGGGCCCATCAGCAGGAGACAGGGCTGGGAACCTCAGATGCCCGTGGCCTGCAGCCCAGTGAGAGTCAGACTGGCAAAGAGGGAGCCTCAGCGAGGAGGGTCAGGGTTAGGGTTAGGGTCGGCACGCATGACACTGCCCACAGAGGAGCCCCTGGAGGGCTGGCGCGGGCGGGCAGCTCGCCCTGCGCACCCTGGGGCCACGGGCAGGGCATCGAGGCCGCGCTTGGCCTCTCGGAAGCCCAAGGTGTTCAGCTCTGCGGTGGGTCATGCGTGTCATGGCTCCCCACGGTGGGTCCTGCTGGGACAAACGGCCAAATGCGCTCAGAGTGGGGCTGTCCCACAGCGGGGAGGGTAGCTCGGCCTTGAATGCAGCGGGAGAGGCGGAGACAGACCCTGGGGTGCAGCTGCCCGAGGGCACACAGCCACCCGGGAGCCCGACTCCCTGCGGCCGATCCCCCAGCCAGAGAGACGGGTCGGGGATCCGGGCTCACCCTACCCCTGCCCCCCCACCCTCCCCGGCTTCCAGAGCTGAGTTCTCGGCAGTATCTCTGCCACTCTTGCCCTGTTTCCCTCCGTGTCTGGATGGCACTGGGACAGTGAAGCTTTCGAGGTAGACCTCGTCTTGGGGGTGAACTCTCGGATCCGCCCGTGGACCTGGGGACTGAACTCGGCTGGAGGATCGGAGTCGCCTCAGCAGCTCTTCGCCCTCCGGAACGTGCTGTCCCGTCAGCCAGCCCCCCCACCCCGGAAAGTGAGCACCCACCTGTGCCTCGCCTGTCCCTGGGGATGGCCAGGTGAGCAGGCTCTGGCCGTGGGCCCACAACACCGGACCCCAGGCCACTCTGGTTACTGCCTGGGTAACCCGAGGCCCCCTGGCTTGTCCCCAGAGAACCCGAGCCCCCAGCTTTGTCCCCACACAATAGAGCGCTCGCCCGGAGAGTGGAACCAGAGATGGCACGTTTGTTCCGGCGCCCTCAGCCTGGCCGACCCTCAGGACCCCTGGAGGTCAGAACGGAAACTGAGGCCTGGGGAGGCCAGCCCTTTCGTGGGGAGTGGGGTCAGAGTGGAGGCGGGAGTGTGGACCCCTGGGCACCAGGTCAGGGCTCTTTCCCACCCAGGTTTCCAGGACGAGGGATCCAGGCCTCCCTGCTAAGAAGGTAAGGCCGCCCGCGGGCAGAGGTTGAGGGGAGGAGAGGGTGCAGGAGCCTGGAAAGCTGTGGAGGGGCCCAAGGGCAAGGGGTGTCGGGGAGTGTGGCATTACCAGCGTGAATATTCATGAATTCCATGAATATTCATAGAAACATCTCTACCACTGATAAGGGAGACACTGGGCTGGGAGGAAGAACCCACCACTCGCTTGCCCAGAACCCGGACAGTGGTCCTGGGCTTTGAGCCCATCTGCCACAGGACCCAACAGGGCCCCTCTGCAAAGGTCAGCAAGGAGCCAGGGCTAGTGAGGGCCTGGCCAGGATGGGAGGGCCATGTGGCCACTCCCCACCGTGGACGTGGGCTCCTGGGCGCAGCTAGTGAGGGCAGAGCAGCCGGGAGCCTCAGCTGGTCTGGCTGGTCTGGGTAACTGGCCAGCAGCCAGGATGAGCTGGGAGGAGGCTGCAGATGCTGGAAACAGGACCCTCTGGGGGCTGATGAGGTCAGAATCCACATCAGGGGGGAGGGAGTCCAGGGAAGGAGAGCGAGGGCGGCCCAGAGAGTGGCAGCACCTTGCCCGAGGTCACACAGCGAAACCTGGGACAGCCCAGGGCTCTGTTGCGTGAGTCTGTGGGTGCGGGGTCTGGCATACAGGAAGATGACATCTGGGCTGGTTCCTATGCCAGGACAGGCATGTGGCTCTTCCCGCACACAATAGGCCTTCAATTTGTGGCTGTTGAATGAATGTCTCTGTATGTTAAAGGGGAGAAACCAAGTCTCAGAGGAGGGGCCCCATCCCAGGCCGCGTCTCACCAGGCACCGCCTGCAGGTCAGACGGGATCTCAGTGGAGGAACAGCGTCCTTGGTCGTCCTGAGCTGTCAGGAGCCGCGAGGCAGCCCCACCTCCTCTCTGACCTCAGTGCCTCCTGACAGTCGGGTCTGAGAAAGCTGCGGGTGATACTTCAGGAAACGATAAGACTCGGGAGACCAGGGCTGGGCTGAGATGGGGCAGGGCAGGGGGACGGGAGGGCCCCCAGGCCGAGGGGGGCCTCTGGAACAAACCCCGGACCTGTCAGGGCGGGTGCGGACACCCATCTGCGTGGTGACTGAGAAGGCAGGACGCCGTGTTGTTAGGAAATCCAGGGAGGAGGCTGACAGTTTGTGGGGAAGAAAAATAATCATAAATGATGGTTTTTATTAAAAAATATCACCAGGAAAATGTAGGCTCATTCCAGAAGCCCAAAAAGAGCCCAAAATGTAATAAGGGGGAAGAGAGGAGAAGGGGGATGGAAAATTAAAATCATGAAAATAGCCCAAGAAAATCTTCTGATATCTGCTGGCGGCTGCAGGGAAGGAGGGGAGGGAGGGTGTCATGTAGTGTGAAGTGATAAACATTATTCTGCAGCCGAAATAGCAGGCACGGCGGCAGGAAGAGGGACAGACAATCCATCACAGAGCCGTGATGGATGGTCCTGCTTGGACAGGGAGGCCAGGCCTGCTGCGGGCCCAGCGGGAGCCAGGGTCCCTGCGAGGGCGGGGGCGGCCTCTGGTGGCCCTGCCCAACCCGTTACGCGGTGTTTGGGCCCGGGGCGTGTGGAACCCAGTCTGGATGGGAGACGGGAAACAGGCCCAGGGACAGCAGGCTGGTCCCAGAGCCACACAGGAATCCAGGATCCGGACGGGGGCGTGGGGACCAATCAGTGCCCAGACCCCCAGATCCAGGCTCCCCCATGGAGGAGTTGGGGAGGCCGTTCTGTCTCCCACCACCTCCGGCCGAGCAGCCGGACCACAGAACAGCCCCCAGCCCGCCTCTGCCCCTCCCCGGGAGTGCGGGCTGGGGATCCAATCTGGGTTTGAACCCTGAGTCAACCACTCCCCCTGGAAAAGTTCCCCAGCACACAAGTCCCTCCTGGACGTGCAGAGCGGGCTGTGCCAGAGCCAGGGCGGGGTCCCCTCTTCACCCACGACTGGCCCTGGAGCGTCTGGTGCCCTGTCCGCCAGGAGGCTCTCCTTGGGCCCCCTCCTGTGTCACTGGGGTGCCAACCCCTGACTTGTCTAAAGGCAAGAAAGGAGCCCAGAATCTCTCAGCTCAGTGGTCATCTACCCTGTCTTTGGCAGGAATCAGAAATAATCCACTTGCGGGACTTCCCTGGTGGCCCAGAGGCTAAGACTCCGCTCCCAAAGCAGGGGCCCGGATCTGGTCCCAGGTCAGGGAACTAGAGCCCGCAGGCCCAAGTGAAGAGCATGCATGTCACAACCGAAGATGCCGACAAAGATCAAAGAGCCCGCGTGGGAACCTCCCTGGGGGTGCGGTGGTTAAGACCCCGCCTTGCAATGCCAGCGACGCGGGCTCGATCCTGGTCGGGGAAGTAAGATCCCACCTGCCACAGAGCAACTAAGTTCTCAGCGGCCGCAACTACAGAGCCCCCGTGCTCCAGAGCCCGAGGGCCACACGAGAGGGCCAGGCGCAGCCACGAGAGGTCCCGCGTGGTGCCAGGAAGGTCAGCTAAGGCCGGGCGCAGCCAGATAAATAAATATTTTTTAAAAAGGAAGAAAGAAAAGGAAATGATCGACTTGCAAGGTCTGGCTGAGGAGGCAGGGAGGTAAGAGGGATGGGGGTGGCCAGGGCTCAGACTCAGGGGTGTCTGTGCGTGTCTAATCCTCGGGACCCCAGGAGAGGGAGGCAGCGGTCGGACCACCAGCCTCCTGACGGGAGTGGGGAGGGGCTGCGGGGGCAGCTGGTTGGGCGGCACCAGGAGGGACAGGCAGTGGGGGCTGTGCCCACAGGGGCCCTGGGCCACCTGCACAGCTGGGAGCCCTGCGAGGTCGGTGGGAGAGATGGGAAGACAGGAGGCAGCGGCCAGGCCTGGAGAGGCCAGGAGCGAGCCAGAGGCGGAGACCGAGGACCCCCCTCAGACCCCGCCCCCGGGACCCTGCCCTCCCGGCGCCCCCGGGCACCGCCATCCTCTCCACACCCCGGGGCCTCCCGGACACCACTCAGCGCATCCTCCCCGCGTGCCCTTCTGCAAAGGCCGGGCCCCCGGGGCGCTTTCCCTGCAAAGCCCCTGTTCCCCAGACCCCAGCCCCCATTTAGGAAAGTTCGGCAGGAAAAGGAGTGAGCCCGCTTCGGAGCCCCCGGGTCAGAGCGGGGAGAGGCCGTGCCCCCGGGCCTGCAGGGGAGGGAGTGGCCCCAGCTGTGATGCTCCCGGGCCGGCTCCCACCCTCAGTGCCCCCCCCTCAGCTGCCAGAGGGATGGTCGGGATCAGGGGCCGGGTCCAGGCCGACACGGGGTGAGGGGTGGGCTTCCCTGGAGCCACAGTCCAGGGCACCTCCAGGAAATGCGGGCAAAGCCAGCTGCTCTGGGGCTGTGAGAACAGGACAAAATGTCCACCCATCACCACGGCCAGGACCTGCCTGCTGGGGGAGCCATGACCCTCGCGGGTCCCGAAGAGGAGAGGGGCCGACAGACACCCCGCCTCAGTCGTCCTGGGTCTACGACGGCCCCCTGCTGGGGGTGCAGGGCCCCAAGTCCAGGGCCCTTGTGGGGTCGGGGACCCCGTGGTGGTCATCTCCAGGGACCCAGCTCTGAGGGGCTATCCCCCTGCTGGCCTGTGGGGTCTGCGGGCTTTGGCTGCAGGGACGGGTGGGGGGTCCATCCAGCCTGCTCCCTGCGGCAGCGGGG